CTCTGGATTTTCAGCATTTCAAAGTGGCATACAGAGGATAGATTTGACTCCACTGTCCCACCTCTCCCCCATGCAGAAGGTTGCTAAGAGTAAAGCTCACACACACACACACACACACACACGCAAAGCCCCAAGGGAGGTAAGGTTCATAGTTGCCTGTTCAGGAACTCTCCACACAAGCTCCTTTGCATGGATTAAAAAAAAAAAAAAACCATGCCACAGGCAACTACAAAAAGCATTATTCAACCCACATGAAGTTTGTATCTTCAAAATAAAGAATTCTTGACTTTCTTGCCAAAGACTGCATTTTTTCAAATCCTAGTAGGTTAAACAAACAAGGTCCAAGCTGTTCAGCACATCGTCTATTAAATTGTATTCAACTAAAGATGGCCTCAGAATTACAGCAAGTGGGGGGGTGGGGGGTAAGAGGGGCAGGCAGCCAGGGCACACACAGGTTTTAATTAACAGATGCAGGGTTTGAAGATAGCAACTCCTTTCTCTCAGTCTGCACCAGCTGAGCAGTCCTTCTGACCACCACCATTTCCCCAGGCTGCAGCAAGCAGGACTCTCCTTACACATACACGTGACAGAGGTAACAGTTCAGACAGATTCAGATCCCTGCCAAAGGACTGTAATCCAGTCAGTATAAATTGTAAACCATACTCATTGCCACACACCTAGCAAGTTTCTTCTTGTTTCTAAGTTTGTGCTTCTGAGGGGTGGCAGTATCACATTCTCACATTGCTCAACAAAACCATGTACGGAGCAGCTGGATCAGAAGGATATGGCTGAACCCAATGGAGCAAGTCAGTATTAGGTTGCTATATAGCCGTAATTGCTCCACTGTACTATGGAAATACTGGTTTTGTTTTTGGAATCATATCACGAGTGGACCTATATAATTTTGGAGACTGCCAGTCAATGAGCAAGTAAAGAGACTTTATTATTTAAAAAAAGAAAAGAGCTGCCAGATAGGAAGTTGCACTATATTCTAGTCAAATCCAGGACATAATACTTTTATGAACTCTTTGTATTTACATTACATAAAGACAGGTAAGACAGGGGAGAGGAACTAAACAGGTTTAACCACAAACTGCAATGATAGATCCAGACTGAACACTGAGCTTCTGAAAAAGCTTTATTTTAAAATAAAGTTAAAAAAGACCTATGTCATACTGAAGAGCCACCCCTTTCTGTATGTGGTTGTGGGGCTTTTAGTTTATTCTGAATAATCTGTCCACTCGCTGTGGATGTTATACAATTGCCAAGAGACAATGAAAAAATTTAAAATACAATCAAGATGAGAAGGCAAGTTGAATCTGAGCTCTGTGAAGATCCTGGCATGTATGTGTTAGTTTGCAATTTATACCCAGGACTAGAGCTTAATTTTACAACTACATTAACAACAAAATTGCACAAAGTTGTTTAACACCTTCTGCGTTACAAATTAGCAGGGGGAGAATAACCAAATCAATCTTTCAGTGTTACAAAGCTTATCCTAGCAGTGAAAATAATTTGCCCTAGCTGACTTGGAACAATTTGAACTGAAATATATTAGGCTCCAATTGAAGCATTAGTGAAGTGATCTTATCATTAGCATTTACTTCCACAGACAGATCTGTCCCCTCGTTTCCCTCACTTTCCCTCCCTGCTCCTAAAAGATAAAAGAAAATTAAAAGGAATTTAAAAATTCAAGTTCATCTCCTGTTTTGTGCTTATGGGCCCACCCACATTTGGTCAGGGTTTAAGTTTAGGGTTTTTGTTTTTTTAAATAGGCTTTGCATGTTTCATTAAGTCAGACATATCTTATTATATATTTTTATATGGCTTGCAATACTTTCAATGTAACTAAATTTAAGTAGCAGCATATTTTCCAAACCCACTGTTACCAGGTTCATTTTAGACAAGACACACAAGCCAACAACCATATTAAGTATTTTTAGGCATATTGAATATAATTCTACTTCTTGTCCCAGTATCAGTGATGTTCCCTTACAACCCCTACTGAGAAATCTTTAATTATCTCAGACAAGCATCCTACAAAAGGAGTGTCCTTTGCACAGAACAGCCAAGTAAATATTTCAATTTTGTACTAGGTAGGTAACAGACTTTTCGTTGCCATTTAGATGGAAAGAGCATACTTACTGCTAGGAAGAGCATGCAGTACATGGAGAACGAAGAATGGCCAGAGTAAAATGATAGTCTGGAAGAGAAGAGAGCAGACATCTCATTATTTTTCTTTTGCAATACTCAGTCTACAGTGATATTAATTTATATTACACAAGTGAACTGGTAAAATGCAAACACCTTCATGCTTCTTCTTCAAGGAGGTTATCTAGGAACAACAGCCATCACTCATGTCCAACAACAGCGTTTGACAAACAGCACTGAATTCACTACTCAGCAGCTATCCTATTGCAGCATTAAGTTGATCTCCACATCAGGTAGTAAGTACTACCCCTTTGACTGAAGTTTGAACAGCAAGTGAACACATCCTAAAAGCTAGAAATCAAGTGCCCTTTTTCATAGAAGATTATCATAGAATCATTAAGGTTGGAAAAGATCTCTAAGATCGAGTCCAACCGTCAACCCAACACCACCATGCCCACTAAACCATGTCCCTAAGCGCCTCATCTACACATCCTTTAAATACTTCCAGGGATGGGGACTCAACCACTTCCCTGGGCAG